GAAGTGCATTATTTTCATATATCTAACAACACCTCAGTTATTTATGAACCGATCTTCATTATTTTCACACTGCTTATTCAGGGGACATTGTTCTACAAACGAACGGTTCTCTTTTGGGTAATCATCCCTTCCATTTTGGCATACCATGGGTATGGTATGCAAGAATAGTGTAAAACATGTCAAGACATAATTACTATTTTTTTTTGGTTACTAATAAGTGTAATAACACATAAAGAAATCCGTTAGAAAATCAATATGGCATTGCTTTATCATTGTTGGGTATCAAAAACAACTTCGACATTGCCACTACTACAGTATGGTGCCATAAATGTTGCCATGTCCAAATGCTAATATTTATTTTTTTTTATCATTATTTATTGGACGATCTTGATGCAACTTATACTACATAAACTATGGCATGCCTAGAGTCTATGGTAAAAATTTCAGTTAAATTGCATGAAGGGAAAAAAGTCGTGAAATTACCGTTGATTTCCCCTTCAGCTACTCCTCCACCTTATCTGAGATTTGGACCAAGTTATGATTGGTCACTGGGCAGCGTCGCAGTGTGGCTCGGTTGCACCCAGACCCTGCAACGGAGGCAGAGCATCTGGTGAACCTAATCACCTACAGAGCGCCATGGCTCAACTGCCTCAGGATCTCCAGGACCTCCAAGCCACCCTCCTTCCTAGAAGGTGATGGTGATCCAAGCGGCATGCCAGGCTAAGGACATCACGGATGAAGACTTCACCGACCAGGAGCTCCAGGCAGCCTTCACATCTCATCGAGACACTGAACCGGGGCATGAGGGTTTATCCCCTATGGCATGATCACTCGGTCTGGCCATGCTGGACATTCAGCTGTCCTGGGGGTCATCAACCAGACTTGGCGAGCTGGCAAACTCCCTGTCGTATGGAAGGAGGCTGACATCATACCAATTCCTAAGCCTGGGGATCCTGGCAGTGTGAGACCCATCTCCCTCACCAGTTGCATCTCGAAGGTGTCTGAAAGGATGGTGTTGGAGCGCCTGAGGTGGAAGCTTGGCCCTCCTCATAAACACCTCTATGGCTTCACCAGAGGAGTGGGCACTTTCGAAAGCCTTATCACTCTACTGACCGGCATTGGGTCGGATGCCCAAGCCCACATTGTTGTCTTTCTTGACCTCGAGAAAGCTTTTGAGCTAGCCAGTGAAACCTGCCATCCTCTCACTCTTGGCCCGCAGGGGATTAAAGCAGGCTGCTTTCATGGCTTCGTTCCTATCTCCAGGACAGGCGGGCCCGGGTACGCTTCCAGGGGCATGCCTCTTCTCTCAAGACCCTGGACAATGGCACTCCACAGGGCGGGTTGCTTAGTCCCCCCTTGTTCAATGTACTGATGCACCAGCTGGTGTGCCTGCCTTTCTCCAGAGGCACCATCCTCCTCAGCTTTTGCCGATGACCTGGCACTTGTCGTACCAAAGGAAGCGCCGGCTTTTGCAGCGTGCCCAGAAGGACCTCGATCTGTGGCTTCCACCTGCCATTCACTTGGGGTCAAGATATCTGTGGTAAAAATCCAAAGCCATGATCCTTCGCACCAAGGTGCCCAGTCAAGGCTGCGGGTCCTGGGCATCGACCTGGAGTGGGTTCACAGTTATAGGTACCTTGGCATCTACATTGACAGGCACCTCACCTTCCAGAAACATGTGTTGCCACATTAAAGAGAGGGCTCTGCAGAGGGTCAGGGGATTGAGTGCCATGGCCAACCCTAGGGTTGGGGCCAGCCTCGAGGTCATGAGGTTGTTCTAAAATCCAGGCAATACGTTCCCTCGTTGACTATGGGGCACTTGCTCTGGTTCACGCCAGACCCACAAACATCAAATCCCTCTGTGTCCTCCAGAACACAGCTGTACGGGCCATGCTGGGGGCTCCTAGGTGGGCCAATGCAGTGGCTCTGAACCTTGAGGGTGCAGCTACAGCCTCTTGAAGACAGGATCCAACTGGTAGCTGCCAGGAGGATTGCAAAGTATCTCCGACTCCCAGGGGCTGTCAAACTGATGAGAGATTTAAGGGTCCGCCAGAGACAGGTCATTCCACTGCATCCCGGCCGCCGATGGATGTGGTCGGTAGCAGATGCCACACAGAAGCTCTGCCCATGACATTACTCCAGGTGGGAGGCTGCGACAGACTGGCAGCGAACTACATGGTGCCAACCCCGTTGGGCACCAGAGCTGTTTGCGGTGCGTTGGACAACCCTACCAGACAGCAAGAGGCATTGCACACCGGGACATTCTGCACCACCTTGCCTCGGCTAGCTTGTGGGTGCGGAAGGCCCAGGGTGTGTGCCATATTACACTGATGGCTCCAGAGACCCAGTGGCAGGCCGCACAGCTGCTGGGATGTTCCACAGCAATCTGACAGCAGGTTTGGCACCTCCCAGACCATTGCACCATCCTCCAGGCCGAACTCTTTGCCATCCAACAATCTCTGCAGCATGCTCTTGCAGACCATCAGCATCCCCCTATCATCCACGTTGATTCCAAGGCAGCGATCCAAGCGCTTACGCACAGAGACCCAAAAGGACAACATACACTTAATCACATCCATCCGGGGTGACCTGCAGACTCTCAGGGCCCCAGGGTCGCAGGGCTACCGTCAACTGGATCCCGAGCCATGTGGGTATCCCTGGCAATGATTGCTGCAGTGAGGCTGCTAGGACTGCAACCCTCGAGGCACAGCCACGTGCTGCGATCTCCATCAGCCTCAGCCAGATTGCGCTGTGGGCTGCTGGTGCGGCCAGGCGCCCATTCCCTGACCCTGGGGATTCACGGAGCCTCTGTTGGTATGTCAGGGCAACCCACTAGGGTGTCCCCTCCAAGTATTCGGACGCAGTCTAGAGAACTGAGGGTGCATATTTCCACGCCTACGCTTAGGGTATCCACCACTGCGAGGATTGTTGAACGGGCACGAGAGGAGCTCTGTGCCCATTGTGACCGAATGGTTCCACAGCCCTTGGTGCACTACCTGTTAGACTGCCCGGCTATGATGCCCCTTCGCCGTAGACACTTCCCAATGACCCCAGTAAGGCAGGCCCCAGAGGATGAGGCAGCACATCTTGTGTACTTAGCTGTCAGGGACTTGGAAACCTTACTTCCAGTCCTTGCAAAGTCATCCGCCCCCCCGCTGAAGTTGCTGCGAGGGCCTGCTTTGGGCCTCCATTGCACTGCACACCAGCCACTGTTAGTGCACACTAACGTTTGGTACATCATCTGGCCATAGGGCTGGTGAGGTACCCCCCCCCCTTCCTGCTGAAGACCTGCCACGCAGGTGCAAGTAACGATAAATGTCACTTCCCTACCCGGGGAGCCAATGTCGGGTCACCAAAATGGAAGAGACCCGGGCCGGGATACAGTACCGGCGAATCAAATAGAATAGAATAGAATATATAAGTGTAATGGGACAAGGTACATATATAATAATAACACAGCTGGCAATAACTTGACTGACTTTCCTAACCTGTTATTTCAACTCTGTTATTTCTCAAGAATATATCTTAATATCAATACATGTATTTTTTAAGGTCTTTATACTCATTAGTTGTGTTTAGAAACACACTTGTGGGCATTATTCTGCTAGAATAATTCCCCTAAAAAATTTTAGTATATTGGCTGTGGCTGTTATTGTGTCTGGCCTCATGTCACCTCCAAAATTATTTGAATTTACAAAGTACTTTACAATAATAATAACTTCTACAAATACATGATACAAATTATAAAGACCATAGCTGACATCTATGACACTGTACAGAAAGACACTGGTTTTGTACGCAGAATGCGACTCACACCAGTCAGCAAACACCCAGGTACCTACTTACTGCTAGATAAACAGTGACAACAGATATCTTAAGGAAACATGCCATAATGTTTTCCCTGTACAGGGGATAGAACCACTGACCTCGGTGTGTGAGGTGAGTGCGCTACCAACTGAGCAATGGCACACTTCCAGGTTTCTTTCACAACCAGGTACAAGCCTTTTAAAATTATTACAATATGATGGTGACACGGTAGTTTATGGTACAATGAACTACAGCGTTCCAGAGAGGGGACACAGAAACAAGGGGTCACAATTGGAAGCTGAAGACTCTGACGAGTCACAGGAATGTTAGGAAGTACTTCTTCAGTCACAGAGTGGTGCCAAAAGAGCTGAGTCTCACACCCCTGCAACCACAATTAGATGAGTACAGTGAACTAGTGTGTCAACACAACACCACAGTAGTGATGGTTTCAGTGAACTAGTGTGTCAACACAACACCACAGTAGTGATGGTACAGTGAACTAGAGTGTCAACACAACACCACAGTAGTGATGGTACAGTGAACTAGTGTGTCACACACCACCACAGTAGTGATGGTACAGTGAACTAGAGTGTCAACACAACACCACAGTAGTGATGGTACAGTGAACTAGAGTGTCAACACAACACCACAGTAGTGATGGTGACACAGTAGTGATGGTACAGTAAACTAGATTGTCAACACAACACCACAGTAGTGATGGTGACACAGTAGTGATGGTACAGTGAACTAGAGTGTCAACACAACACCACAGTAGTGATGGTGACACAGTAGTGATGGTACAGTGAACTAGAGTGTCAAGACAACACCACAGTGGTGATGGTGACACAGTAGTGATGGTACAGTGAACTAGAGTGTCAACACAACACCACAGTAGTGAAGGTGACACAGTAGTGATGGTACAGTGAACTAGAGTGTCAACACAACACCACAGTGGTGATGGAGACACAGTAGTGATGGTACAGTTAACTAGAGTGTCAACACAACACCACATTAGTGATGGTGACACAGTAGTGATGGTACAGTGAGCTAGAGTGTCAACACAACACCACAGTAGTGATGGTGACACAGTAGTGATGGTACAGTGAACTAGAGTGTCAACACAACACCACAGTAGGGATGGTGACACAGTAGTGATGGTACAGTGAACTAGAGTGACAACTCAACACCACAGAAGTGATGGTGACACAGTAGTGATGGTACAGTGAACTAGAGTGTCAACACAACACCACAGTAGTGATGGTACAGTGAACTAGAGTGTCAACACAACACCACAGAAGTGATGGTGACACAGTAGTGATGGTACAGTGAACTAGAGTGTCAACACAACACCACATTAGTGATGGTGACACAGTAGTGATGGTACAGTGAGCTTTGAGTGTAACACAACCTACATCAGTGATGGTGACACAGTAGTGATGGTACAGTGAACTATAGTGTCAACACACCACAGTAGTGATGGTGACACAGTAGTGATGGTACAGTGAACTAGAGTGTCAACACAACACCACAGTAGTGAGGTGACACAGTAGTGATGGTACAGTGAACTAGTGTCAACACAACACCACAGTAGTGATGGTGACAAAGTAGTGATGGTACAGTGAACTAGTGTCAACACAACACCACAGTAGTGATGGTGACACAGTAGTGATGGTACAGTGAACTAGAGTGTCAACACAACACCACAGTAGTGATGGTGACACAGTAGTGATGGTACAGTGAACTAGAGTGTCAACACAACACCACAGTAGTGATGGTGACACAGTAGTGATGGTACAGTGAACTAGAGTGTCAACACAACACCACAGTAGTGATGACACAGTAGTGATGGTACAGTGAACTAGAGTGTCAACACAACACCACAGTAGTGATGGTGACACAGTAGTGATGGTACAGTGAACTAGAGTATCAACACAACACCACAGTAGTGATGGTACAGTGAACTAGAGTGTCAACACAACACCACAGTAGTGATGGTGACACAGTAGTGATGGTACAGTGAACTAGAGTGCCACACAAACACCACAGTAGTGATGGTGACACAGTAGTGATGGTACAGTGAACTAGAGTGTCAACACAACACCACAGTAGTGATGGTGACACAGTAGTGATGGTACAGTGAACTAGAGTGTCAACACAACACCACAGTAGTGATGGTGACACAGTAGTGATGGTACAGTGAACTAGAGTGTCAACACAAACACCACAGTAGTGATGGTGACACAGTAGTGATGGTACAGTGAAGTAGAGTGTCAACTCAACACCACAGTAGTGATGGTGACACAGTAGTGATGGTACAGTGAACTAGAGGGGTCAACACAAACACCACAGTCCACCACAGTCACCTCAGTAATGTGTCTGTGGTTGACTGCTGCTCTCACCACATCCAGACCCTTCACAACTTTACCAAAGACACGGGAGAACTGGCTACCATCTGTGCGGTCCCTGGTGGTGATGTAGAACTGGGCACCCTGGTCACTCCCCAGCCACCTTGGTGACCCCACATCACCAGCACTGCCTGACTTCTGGTACTGGTGATCATCCTGGTGAGACAACAGTGGTGCTCCTCCCTTACCATTATTATACTGGTAGTCTCCACCACACACACGCTCCCCTGGTCGACCCTTGTTCAACACCTCCAACAGTTTAGTGTTGAGGTAGGAGGAGCCTGAGTGTTGTCCAGTACACAACAACACAAACTGTCTGCCCAGTGTTGTGTTACCACTCAGCTGGATGTGGAGTCTGTTTGATCCAGCCAGTGATCCAGGCTGGGTCAGTGATCCAGGCTGGGGCAGTGATCCAGGCTGGGGCAGTGATCCAGGCAGGGGCAGTGATCCAGGCAGGGGCAGTGATCCAGGCTGGGCCAGTGATCCAGGCCGGGCCAGGTCAAGAAATACCAGAGTGGAGGAGTGATCCAGCGCCTCAAACATCTCGCTCACCTACACAAACAAACATCATCACTCACTCTACATCTCACTTATTATTAATCTTATCATTATATTATAATTATCATTATAACACTTTTATATTATTATAATTATTATTGTCATTATCAGCAGTAGTAGTATTACCTACTATAAATAATAATTCATAATTATTTATAATAGGTAATACATTTATTAAAATGTCAATTCATTATCACCTATCATCATTATTATTATTATTATTATTATTATTATTATTATTACTATTATTATTATTATTAATATTATTATAAATTTTGAAATCAAATTCTCACATTATTAAAATATTACATTATTATTTTTAGTTCTTCCTTTGGTTATAATAATAAATAATTATTAATAAAAAACACATATGCGTAAAAATTGTTCCTTTATTGACTTTTTTTCGCCCCACAGTGAGTTTTTCAAGTCACAAACAGATCTCCCGGGGGTGGAGGTACGTGAGTATTTTGTCAGGTTCAGAATGCTGAGGTGGGGGAGAATGCTGCATTGAATGTACCGAGTGGGGTTAAGAGTCTAAAATCTTGGGGGACTTGGGAAAAAAATTGGATAAGTTTTTTGGAGACTTCTCAGTGCTTAATTCCTGTGTTCTTATGTGGGTAGCGATAAAGAAGTTTCTTGGAAGGGGTTTCAGTTATGTTTTAAAACCCACTATTCTGGTTGAGTTGTCGGATATAAAAAATAAGTGTGATTCCGGGATTCTTCGGTATTGGGGTTTTCTTCTGTGGAAAAATTTTGAGTTTCTGTAGTTTACAAGGGTTGTGTGAATTAGGGTGTTGTACACAGGCATTCTTGTGTCGTCAGCCCTGTTTGCTACGGTGTTCTGAAATAGTTTTTGGAGGTCCCTTTGATGTTTGCCCACTTATAATTTTTCAGTCTTAAAAAGGGGTTTATTTTAAACCCCTGCAGAGGGTGGAAAAGCTTGCCCTGTTTCACTGGTAAGCCCTTGATGGTCTGGTTGTGGGGGTTATTTTTGGAAAGGGGGTATTGGAAAATTTTGGGAAAAACTTTGTTTGGCAAGGGATTTTGGTGGGAGGCTATGTATCTTTTTGGGGCAGTGCCCTTCTCTGGGTGTGTTGAAGATGTTTAATGCCCGTCGTCTCGTCTCTGATGAATGATGGGGATAGTTAAAGGTTAGAAAAACTTGTTAAATTATCGTTCATTTTTCTTCAAGAAATCATTTTGCGATTTGAGTTCACGTGGGGAAGGGCCCTATAATTACACCCGTTAGTTTTGGTGTCGTGGTGAGAGTAGAAGGGGAGAAGATCTTTTTTGGTTGGGGGGTTTTCGATAGACTTTAAAACGAAGTTAGTGGTCGCTTGCAGAGAAAAAACATAAAGGAAGGAAGGGTTGTCGCCTTTCTTTTAATGTGAACGGATTAAGGCTCGACCCCGGGTTGGGTTTTCTTGGAGAGTTGAAAGTTTAAGCGTTTAGGGTTATGAGGAGAAAAGTCGTCAAAAGGGCCAGGGGACAAACGAAGGAAATTGGGGGGAGAAACATTCGGCTTTAGTGTTCCCAAGTAAGGTTGCCGGACTGCACTGGTGGGGGAACCCTGGGTAGTCCAAAAGTCTGCTGAAAGAGGGGATTTTCGAAAGAGAAACTGTTTAAAGCCCAAAACAGTTTAACAAGGTCGATGAAAGCTGGTGGAATGGAAGATCAAGTGAATCGTCAATTTTTTTCCCGTGCAAGAGATGAGGCTTGTGTATGGGACTTTGGTGAATAGGGAAGTCACTTCAAAGGGTGGGAAAGTTTCATGTTCCGTGTTGATGTTGTGAATCGATTGAGAAGATACCCGAGTTTGAGATGGGGGCTGATAGTGCCCAGGTGATCTTCTAAAAACGCATTGCAAATCAAAAACAGGAACAAGAAACTTCCACCTTGGATGTGAACTTCCTATTCACCCGAAGTCCTATTTCCAAGCCCCCGATCTCTTGCGCAGGAAAAATTACGATTCATTTTATTTCCCCCTTCCCAGCGATTTCACACCTTGTTGAAAATGTGTTGGCTTTTTACGTGTTTCTCTTTCGAAAAAATCACCTCTTTCAGCAGACTTTTGGACTACCCTGGGTTTCGCCACTCGTGCGGTCCCTGGGGAACCCATACATGGGAAAATCAAAGCCGAACGTTTCTCCACCCTTATTACTTCGCTGTCAACCGGTCCGTTTGTTGACGACATTCCTCATACTCCTAAACGGTTTTTAACGTTCAAACTCTCCAAGACAAGTCAACAGGTCGAGCTTCAATCCCGTTCAACTTTAAGAAGAAGTGACAACACTCTTCCTTTCCTTGATGTTCTGCTTGCAAAATGCCACGAAATTCGTTTTGAAGTCTATCGAAAACCCCCCCAACCCCAAAACGATTTCTCCATTCACCTTTTACCCCGCCCAAAACAAACGGGGTGAAATTTTAGGCTTCTTCCGCGTGCCCTCAGAAAATTTTGCAAAATGGTTTCTTGAAAAAGAATTGCACGTTAATTGAACAAGTACAGTGGACCCCCCCATACCATTTTTTAAACCGTCAAGAGGGTCCATTGGAAAAGCGAAAAAATTTTTGGGATGCGAATGAATTTTTTCCCAAAGAAATAATGGAAAAACAAATTATCCGTGAAAGACCCCCCAAAAGTATGAAAAAAAAAATTTTTCCCCGTGAAATATACATTTTCCTACACACAAAGAGAAGGGTACATGCACAAATAGTAGAGTAGTACATGCACAGTATATATTGTGCATGTACTAGTCTACTAAATGAAGAATAAATGACACTTACCTTTATTGAAGATGTAGCAATGACTGATGAGACACTGTGTCCTGGGAGTGCCTTTTCCTCCTGAGTACTGTAGGTCCTGTTTGGTATTTTCTTCCAGAACATGCCTTATCACACTGTGTATGTCACTACGATTCTTAAATCTCTCAAACCAACCTTTGCTGGCTTTAATTCACCAATATGAGCACTAGTTTCCAGGCATTTTTCCCTGTTTCACCTGGGTGTTAGTCGACTGGTGTGGGTTGCATCCTGGGAGACAAGATTAAGGACCCCAATGGAAATAAGTTAGACAGTCTTCGATGACACTGACTTTTTTTGGGTTATCCTGGGTGGCAAATCCTCTGGGGTTAATTGTTTCTTGGTATATTCTCAATAAGCCACACCAACAACAGTGCTACAGCAGCAGCTGACGATGCTACAGCAGCAGCAGACGATGCTACAGCAGCAGCAGATGATGCTACAGCAGCAGCAGACGATGCTACAGCAGCAGCAGCAGCAGACGATGCTACAGCAGCAGCAGACGATGCTACAGCGAGCAGCAGACGATGCTACAGCAGCAGCAGACGATGCTACAGCAGCAGCAGCAGCAGACGATGCTACAGCAGCAGCAGCAGCAGACGATGCTACAGCAGCAGCAGCAGCAGACGATGCACAGCATGCAGCCAGCACGAGACGATGCTACAGCAGCAGCACAGCAGACGATGCTACAGCAGCAGCAGACGATTGCTACAGCAGCAGCAGACGATGCTACAGCAGCAGCAGCAGCAGACGATGCTACAGCAGCAGCAGGACGATGCTACAGCAGCAGCAGCAGCTGATTATGCAGCAGCTGTAACCACCAATAGTAGCGATGGTTGATTGGGGTTTATTATACAACCTGGCCAGCTCGGAGACATGCACCTCCACTTTCTACTTATCAATGATCTTTTTTTCATCTCTATAGTAATTCTCACCCTTATTGCCCGTAGGGTTGGCACTAGAAAGCTTTCTTGGGGCCCATGGTCACTTATTTTCCAGATAAAATCACCAAAAAACACTGTAATAATACGAAAGTTACGAAATTTTATGCTTGGATGCTACCGCGGGAAAAGGTTGGG